CAGACTGCTACAGCCGCTGAGGCAATGATACAATGACATAATTATAGACAAGATACGACCTGGAAACACAGACACTGCTCTGAAGAGGTGGGGCGGAGGTGTCACAAGCAATTCAATTCAACTCTTTGTATAGCCCTAAATCACAACAGTAGTCGCCACGGAGGACTTTACACAGTTGGTGATTCCTCCACAACAGAAGAAACAGAGAATCCAACAGTTCAAACACGAGAAATGAAATAATAACAAACAATGGCTGAAGAGAAACCAGTCATGTGACCACTAGACTCTTAAGCTGTCCCTGTGCTGCCTGTATTGTATTGTGTTATGTTGTTTTTTATTGTATTGTATGTTGTCATGTTGAGGGCGACAGTGGTTCAGTTGGTAGAGTATGGGTCTTTGAGCCTGAAGGTCGTGGGTTCGATCTCCCCACGAGACTTACTCCAACTGCTCTCACTCATGTCTGTTGTTGGGCGGCACGGTGGCTGAGTGGATAGCACTCTCGCCTCTCAGCAAGAAGGTCCTGGGTTCGAATCCCGGTTGGACCAGGGCCTTTCTGAGTGGAGTTTGCATGTTCTCCCCGTGTCTGCGTAGGTTTCCTCCGGGTCCTCCGGTTTCCCCTACCACTAAAAATATGTACAATAGGTCTGGCATGTGCCTCCTGTACTGGCACCCCCACTCCCAAAAATAACAATTGTAAACCGCTTTGAGACTCCGATGTGCAGTGAAAAGGCGGTATATAAATAAAGATTACTTACTTACTTACTTACTTGTTGTGTCCTGACTCCTTGGGCAAGCCATCTTCCTGTGGACCTACCACCTGCAGCAGGATCAGTGAGGGACTGGTGTCATGAGTATGGGGTGGCAATCAGAGCCCCCCCCCCCCGACCTAGAAATGGACTAATAAAGGGGTTGAAAATACACGAATGAATGAATGAAGGAATGTATGTTGTCATTTCCAATGTACTGTATTTTCCTGCCTAGGGACTACGGATGAAAACTAGCTTTGTAGCTATAATCCGGTGTATTTACATTTACATACTGATGTTCATGAATGTGCATTGTCCCTATCAAATAAATAAATGAATACACAGGAGTAATCTGTCTATATGGAGCAGATGACCAAAAGTGACACACCATCTCTGTCCTACATCAGCAAGGAATGACTCAAAAACCCAGTGAGAGAAGGTGAGACAGACTCGCTATTGACCCAGGACTCAGACTATAGAACGGGGACTGAGGCTGTGCGATGCAGGACCTCATGTTATTGCAGCTTACATCATATTCAAATAAACTTGGAGTGACTAACGCTTATCTGGTATTTTGGGTTTAGTAAGTAAATAGGTCATCTTTATTTATGTAGCACTTTGATAGTATTTATAGCCAGATGGCCAGCAGGAGGTGAATGCCGGAGCTATTGTACATGTTTGTAGTGGTAGTGTCTGAAGGCAAAATGAAACAAACCCAAAACGTGAGACTGCAAAAATAATAGATAAAAACTGGGTGTGAAGACAAAAAACTAAAAAAGTGGAAATGACAATGATGCAACAGGCAAAAAAGGAATACACAGGTATTGAATACACATGACACAAGTGAGGGCGGGGCAGGTAATCAGACAACAGGAAGTACAACTACAGGACCTACAGGGGTCAAGCCCCGGCGATTCAAGATGGCGCCCTATTCAAATGAATGGTTGTGCTCAGTGGCGCTTTGTGACGGCATGGGGGCTGAAAAGATTAGCGGAAGTGGCCTGAAACTCGCAAAGAACTTTGGGAAACTCACAAAGATCTATGGGAAACTCGCCTGTATTTGGGCATCGTCTGGTCCTCCCGGTTCTGCGCAGTGGATGATCTCCCATAATGCATTGCGCCAAACACGCGTGTGTGGATCTCACACCAGGTCTCACGCACGTGCACAGAGGGGCTCGGCCTCGCTCTGACCAATCAGAGCAGTTCATCAGAGCGGGAGTTAGAGCGAGAGCCAGACGAGTAGAGTTTGTGGCACTAAAGTGTGGATTTAAACAAAACCGAAGGATTTAAGAAGAAAAAAAGTTCAGGATGACAAGGGACACTAAAATCCCCACAAAATCCGATCTTTATTAAAGCTGTAGGTTCTCTGTCAGCTGAGGTTGAGTTGTTTTAATATGCATTGAGTCCTATGGGGAAAATTTCTGGGTAGCCCACGTGAATTTAGTCTGGTTCAGTCTGCAGTACCGCGAGAATCCCCTGAGCACATGAGTTATTCAGCTACAAGCTAGTAATACCCTATCCAGTTATTATAATACATCCATGACAGGGGTTGACAAATGACAAAACAAAACAGGATATAAACCCAAACTATGACAGGTAGGGGAAACCGGAGCACCCAGAGGAAACCTCCACAGACTCGGGGACTCCACACAGAGTCGATATTGAAGCTTATTTCCAAACCTATTCCTGAAGCTATAATCTACTGCCAAGACAAACATTCTCTGAGTTTTGAAGTCTGGCGCAAGAAACTGCACAAAGTTGAGTTTATCTTCAACTGGACCAAGTCTGCTTCACAGATCTGTTTCAAGATATGTATCTGAAGTGGACACAATGTTCACTTTTGACTTCCTGCCTCCTCGTAAACTCAGGCCCTGATTTTCATTCACATGTTTTCAATATTTGAAAAATGTATATAAAACATTCTCAAATTAAGCGCAGAGAAATTGATCGGATCACCAATCAATAGAAATTAAACCTGTGATGAATAAAAACAACACAATAGTGAGAAAGACAAGCTAGGAAAGGGGACCAAGCAGCAAGAGACAGCATCGGTATCTACAGACAGACAGACAGACAGACAGACAGACAGACAGACAGACAGACAGACAGACAGACAGACAGACAGACAGACAGACAGACAGACAGACAGACAGACAGACAGACAGACAGACAGACGAGGTGTACATCTCTAAGCAACAACTGCAATAAGATTCATTTTAAGATTCACATTTTACCACACAACACGGTATGATATACAGAATCAGCAGGTCAGGTCAGAACAATAATAACTAATGAAAAGCAGAAACATAACTTTGAATTTCTGAAAAACAAAGAAGAGGCATGATTGGGATGTTTTAAAAGAATTTGTCCAATAACCAGATCATCATGTTCTTTTTACGGTCTCTGGAAAAAGTGTCTGCAAACCTTCTCTATCCCATAAATCCAGACAGTCCATCCGATGTAAAGAACTGGAAAGATTGAGAACAGATGATCCCAGGTAAAGCTTAGTTGCTGTATTTCTATAATGTTCTCTAAAATGTGTTCCCTCTCAGACAGATGTGGGTAAAGACAAGAATGATCTGTTTGCGAAGGGAAACTCAAAAGACACATGTGACAATAACATCACAATATCAACTTTTTACCATTTCATGACAGGTTTGCATAATGTCAAATGTCTTGTTTATGATAAAGAAAACAAAATGGCAGAATATGCACATTTTGGTCATGGCGGGACTAGGTTTTTCTCAATGTATTGGTTCTTTTTCTTTTTTGTTTGTTGAGTTGCCTGTATAACGATTTTTTTTGTTTTACATTTTCTCACAGGTTTGATTTAGTAAGTAGTAAGTAAGTAAGTGAGTAAGTACTTTATTTATATAGCGCATTTTTACAGACCAAAGTTACTGTACCTAAAGCGCTTACAATGTTCAGAGTTCAGATATTGTTTCATTCTCTCCACACACGGTGATTATGGAAGCGAGACACATGGCGCATCAACACCATCCATTCACTCATTACATTCAGACCTATTGTGCATGTTTTTAACCCCTTAAGAAAAAAATGCATCTGCTGGCAACAGTAGATATATTTTGAACTTCATAACCCACAAGCTATATATCATTTTAAAGCTTATTTTCACATCTACATTTATATATAAGTGTGAACGATTTCAGAATTTGCATTAAAAAGATAAAACACATAATATGGGCGCAACATAAATCACGTCTGTATACGTTTTTTACCTTTCGTCTTCTGCTGCTTAAACAAATTAGACTGGAAGGAGGGAGGAGCTGTTCATGGAGTAGGACGTGTGATTGCGGGCTCCTGCCGAATACGATTAAAAGTAACATTTATTTGCGCTTTTATTTACAAATCTTACATGGTTGCTTAGTTGAAGCACATATTCATCTTAAGTGAGTCGCACGGTCACGTTTAAATGTCTGGAAAGAACGCAATTAGGAAGTCTCGGA